TAGTTTTAAGCATCTATACAAATCATTTCTGGAATTATGTTCCTATTGAAATAAAGAGCTAGGAATTATGTCCTCTAAGGGACGTGGACATAAAGGGACATAAATTTTATATGCTAAATACTTTAAGGACCCATCTTTAGACATGACTCCTTTTATCTCTTAATAAATACTACAAGGGAATTCAGTTGACTTAAACTGCCAAGTTTAAGGCATAAATGTCAAGCAAGGAATAATTTCTATATGATATATATAGTATTTCTTAGCCATGATGCTTCTATATATTGGTAATATAAGTCAAGTAGGATTGATTAAGATAATACACAGCCCAATCTATAGTATTAAATATGTCATTGTTTATGTAATGTAACTGTGGAATTTAATCAAAATTAGATCAGAAGTCTTTCTTCATGCAATTCTTTTCTTTTTTTATAATTTATTACAATTTTATAATTACTGGAAAGGCCAGAAGTTCTATCTTTATATAATCTAATTGACTTTTTGTGATAAATTTTTGTAATCAAATGGATTTGAATCCTAAATTTGCTCTTGATAACCTATAGAGTATTACCACTATGCTATAGATCTATAGATCTGAATTCAACTATTTTTTAAAAACTATATTATAGTAGAATTACTAAGTAACATATAGTAAATAATTAAAATTTGTATTTAATTTGAAATTATATTATTAATCAAATTTCTTTTTATAATAATATGAATATATATATAATTGTTATTAATGTATAATATTTGGCTTGTCTTTTTTTTTTTCTCTTAAATAATTTTTCTTATTATAATTAAATTATATTAACTCAGAAATTTGTTAATAATTGGTTTGTATCATTGTTTTATCTAAGTTTTTGTAAGGATTCTTATAGTAGTTTTGATTATTTAAAGTCTTTTCATATAATATTTTTAAAGTTTATTAATTATCTTTAATATTTTAATATTAGGATTTCAAAAAATACCAACCAGTACTGAAGTAATATTGAAATAGTATTAATCTATAATAAATTTAATATATAGGTTGTGATCTACCTATATGAATTTATAGTAAATTTAAGTATTGAACTGATATTAAACAGATATCAAAATAGTATTATTAGGAGTCCTATTTAATATATTTAATTTTTAAAAAAAAATATATATTTTATTACTACTTGGTTAAGGCTTTGATTGTTTTTAAATCCTATAATTATAAATCTTTTTCTTTTTTCTGTTTTACTATTTAAGAATATATCAGTTTTTGCTTTGATATGTTTAACTATATTTATTATTCTTGTGATTTATATATTTTCTTGAATACTATAAAGTCTTATAATAAATTTGTTTTTTTATAAATATTTCTTCAAAGTTTATATATAATATAATTCTTACTATTGCTTTACTTATTGAAATTACCCATGTTTCTTTTAAATCTACTGTATTTTAATATTTTTCAAAGTAACTATTGCTGTTTTATAGCATTTCTACTCTTTTATTTGTATGTTTATTTGTATAATTATACTATAACTTTTTATGACTTTTTTTATTTTATATATAGAAAAGTTATAAAGAATATCTAGGATTTTAACTGTTATTTTTAGATCATATATTTAAAATTATATATATTTGTTTTATCTGTAATTGTTTCCTTGTCTTTTTCTTTATGATTTAATTATGAATTGCTTTTAATAAAAATATTATATTGTATATCTGTTATATCGTTTTGATATGTTTTTTGTTGGATATGAGCTTTTCAAATTTGATTATTTTGAGATCTTTAATTGTGAACTTTTTGTTTTTTCTATTTAATTTATTGATATATAGTTTTTTATCTTTTTCTTTCTTAAAGTAGTTAATGAACTGTTTATTTTTATTAATGTATTCTATATTTATGTATATATTTTTAATAGTAATTATAAAAGTTTTTATAATTATATTCAGTTGTTCTTTTTTATTATTTTCAAAAAAGATTTCTATTAGCATATCAATACTATAGGGTAAGGTTTTATTGCTCAAGTTATATATATTAATAGATTTAGTTAAAATAATTAGAATTGTTTTTTGAAGCTTTTATAAAGTTAATAAAAAAAGATATTTGTTATGTTATGCTATATTTATACTGTTATAATATTATTTTTATTATTATTATTTTTTTTTTCTTCTGAATTTCTTTTAAGATATAAAATCTTAAAATTACTATTTTTTTATTGTTTATCTTTTTTACACAACCTATAAGATCTAGTTATAACTTGAAATAAATTATATACTAGTAATTTCTATTGATAAAGTCAATTTTGATAAGATCACTTTTTATATTTAATAATTTAAAAGTGTATATTAGATAATTAATCTGTTTATTCTTGTTTTTATTTAATATATTTGTTATTAAAATATTTGCTATAAATGTTTCTTTTTTTATTATAAAGAATAGGTTAGTGAATTATATGATCTGTTTCTTATATAGTAATTAGTGATATTTTTAATATTATTAAATATATCTATTAATATTTTGTTTACTTGTAATATCTGTTATTATTATTTTTTATATTTTCTTTATATATATTATAATAATTTTTTGTATAGTAAATTTTTCTTGATAAATATTGATTATTTTTATTTTAGTTAAATATATAGGTTTTTGTATTGAATGATTTAAAATTTCAGATAATAAGATAACAAGTACTTGCAAATTTGAAAAATGTTTTGGATATGTTGACTATAGAATCTTTATAGATATTTTTGATATCAAGTGATTGTTTTAAAGGATATAATCACTTGGTTTAAATATTGTAGAAATGATAAGTTTGTTTAATAGGTTTTTGATAATATATTTATTAATAATATCCATGTACATTTTATTTTTAATCCATAGGTCTTTTGTATATTTGTAAATTATATCTGCCTTAATAAACAATAAATTTTATTTTATTTTATATAATTTATTTTTCTTTATATATATATTTATATTGTTTTTTTTCTTTATTTTTTTTTTATTTTTTGTATTTTTACAAAAGAAATAATAATTGAAATTTATTATATATAATTATAAAAATAAGTTGTAAATATTGATCTTATTAAAAGATTAAAATCTTAATTCTATTCAATAAATAAATAATTCATTACTTTTAGTATTATTAATAGATAATAGAGTCGAGTAAATAGATAGATATATTTATTTCTCATATTTGTAATAGTTAACATGATATAACAAACATGTGATTTTAGTCTGATTGCAGATTAAAAATAATAATAATAAATTAATACTGTAGTTTTTTTATATATAATCAATTAAAAATTTTTTTAATTAAATAATAAATATAAAAGCTATTAATAACAATTTAAAATCGAAGTATTTTTTTATAAAGCAAACAATATTATAAAATTATATTTAGTAATATTTGTTAAAAAGTATATTACCATATTAGAAGTTAGAGACAGGATTTAATTACTTTAAATGCATAATTATGTTCGCCAAAGAATGTGTAGTGATAAGATTTGTTTTCGAAATATTTTGTTATCTAAATTTGCAAATTTGAACTTTCGTAAGTAATTTTGCCACATCAGAAAAAGCTTTGAATTATCAAGATTTAACTTTTGTTTTGTATTAATGTCAAGCAATTTTATTACAATTTTCGTTGTGATGTTGCACAAAATTTCCAAACTGAAGATTGGTTTTCTTCTGTTTATATGTGTCGTCGAGAAGTGATCATATTCATTTTATCGATACCAACTTTTAATTGTAATATCGTTGCAGAAAAGTACATTTGACTAGAGAGAGAAGCAATTGTCCAAACTTGATAAATTCGTTATTCTATTGATCGTCAGTATCCAGGACGATATATCGAAACTGAAATTTAATAAAAGGTTTCAGATTAAAGTGCAATACTAGGATTGTTTTTGTGCTATTTTTTTTTTCAAAATACAGTATATGATTGTAATAATTGTGATGATGAAAGCATTTTTAAGATAGTAATATTTAATACTTTCATAAAGATATATTGTTGGAAATGTAAAGGGATATATGTAAATATAGATCCTAATTATATATAAGAGAATCTAAAAATGTTTATTTGAATGCCTTAATGTTCATGTTAAATAAACGACTACCTACTGGCAGTAGAATCTGGAAGCGACTCACTGAGTCCACCTTCCACCTTCCACATCCACTATTTGGTATTACCACCGCCGCCGATTCCAAGCAACTTTCCAAATTTGCGCCTTAACTTTCTCATTATGGTTCTGATGCTATCCCCTTCATCTCCATCGTCATCAAATAATACCTTAGTCCACTCTTTTGCTGTAGGAACTTCATCTCGTTGATAACACCTGGTAATCGAGAATAATCGTTGGAAATCTACTTTCGATGTAGGGCTCTTTTTAGATAGTTTTTGTAGGATCGGTTCATCTCCGGTGAATATATGTAGGATTTTGGGATGTCCCGATGAGTCAGGTTTGCTATTTTCCACAGATTCCCTCGATTTAAGATTATTTTCGGTATTTTCGTTTTGCTCCATCTGTTCATCTTTGGTTGACTTGTTTTCTATGCCATCTTTTATATCATCCTTTTCACCATCCTTTTCATCTCCTTTCTCTTCGGCTTCAGCCGCACGAACTTCCTGATAAAAGTCTTCATACAATGTTTCAAACAATGGTCGTTTCTGAAGGATATATGTAGGATAAATGGTTTTAATTTTTGTGCGGTCAATACTTTGTATCAATATATTTGTTTCTCCCAGGAGTTTTACGAGCTTCTGCTCTGTTAATGTGTATGATGGTGACATGATGGTTGAGAAAGTGTTATGCAGTGATTATTCGAGATATTTTTTATTTCGTTGGGGTATAAAATAAAGTTCAGGATTCAGCTTTTGATTGCTTTTTACTATTAAAGATCGAGAGAAAGTAATGGATAATGCTGTAAACAAGAAAATTTTTTATCCGTTAAACTAAAACCTCATGCCTTAAATAGGTACTTTTATACAATAAATGCGTATCGAATAATTAGGCCGTATTAATGTAATGGCATACGAATAAAATTGGAAATAAATAATGAATGAGGACATAAACTTTTACGAACACAATAGTTATATACAGTTGTAAAACAATAACAACTTCCATTGAGTAAAAAAATCACCTTCGCAATATTAGCATTAAGAAAAAATGCAATTCGTTTGACTCTTGAACATGCAGAACTAATGCTTCTGACATAAATCATCCGATGGTTTAATGCTAAATTCTTTTACATTACTACCGATCATGAAACGGAATGTCGATAATTACTTGAGGTAAAGTAATATCAATATGCTTACGTAAAAAGGTGTTTTGACTAAAAAGAACCAACCATCTGGAATTTACGTAGAGAAACATTTAGTTGAATATATTGGTTTATATGGAAATTTGTGTCCCAAAAAAAACGCCAATAGCATACCGATGTCAATGTAATCCGAATCCAAATATGGTGATCAAAATTAGGCATCTATTTATACTTGAGAAAAAATGATGCATGCTTTCATCATTTTCAGGTCAAATGGTTTTAATGCATAATCGAAGATCACGTATGTGGCTTCATCTTAAGCTCCAACTATAGTCTCAAAAGAAATTCGGGATTCAGGGACACAGTGCCCGTTCTGTTTCTTCATACAGATCATGAACTGCGCTCCTTAGAACCGCTCCCTCTGCATTTACAATTATTGGTTAGTTACGTTTTCCGACAGTGGTTCCGCCTTCAACCTGGTGATCAATTCACTGCATCAAAGTTTATCATCGCCAGATCTATTCGCAAAATAGATCTTTTTCTTTTGTGTGATAAAGTTTTTTCTTTACTAACTCGGATCCGAACATACAGTACATATGTTTGGACCTTATTTTTTTAACAAATAAATAATTCACTCATTGATGCAATTTTGTGGGAAAAAGTACGAGAGCGATAACCTCACTAGTGACGTCGCGTGAACAAATAACTTTTTATACAAAACGCGTGTTTAATGACTCCGCGTAAATTTCCTCATACGGAATCTTCCTATGAGTTTGAAAGTGACTCCGTATATTTATGCTAATGGATGCACCTATCTTACAATGGCTGAATGTTCTGTCACAAGAGAATTGGCACACAAGAGTCTAAAACACTCAGCGAGAAATGAATTAAACTTGATAAAATCTTAATAGTTAGCTGATAAATGCGTAGAGAGCTTTAATTGGTTCACTGCAATAAGGTCACGCTGGTATTTATTTTGCAGTCATCCGAG